ATTGTATGCTTAAATAATATATCCTTTATTTATGTTGCAGACGGCTCCGTGGCGCAGTGGCTTAGCAATGAGTGGTTGCGCTGGGGGCCGCGGGTTCGAATCCCGCACGGATCAAGTATTTGTATGGCCTACAAATAATTGTTCCGGGTCTGGATGTTTGCCCTTGTGCAATTTATGTTTGTAAACTGCCTCCACGACACATGAGAAAATCCTAGTGTGGGGGTAACGTTTTTTTTTTTAAAAAAAAAAAGAAGAAAAAAAAGATAATTTAAATCAGTAAGTAATTGGACGGCTAGGATGTTAGTTACACTGGCATTATAAATAGCAGTCATTAAAAATAGCATATTAGTTATTAATATTCTTATATACTTACATTATAAATAGCAGTCATTAAAAATAGCATATTAGTTATTAATATTCTTATATACTTACATTATAAATAGCAGTCATTAAAAATAGCATATTAGTTATTAATATTCTTATATACTTACATTATAAATAGCAGTCATTAAAAATAGCATATTAGTTATTAATATTCTTATATACTTACATTATAAATAGCAGTCATTAAAAATAGCATATTAGTTATTAATATTCTTATATACTTACATTATAAATAGCAGTCATTAAAAATAGCATATTAGTTATTAATATTCTTATATACTTACATTATAAATAGCAGTCATTAAAAATAGCATATTAGTTATTAATTCTTATCTATACAAATAAATAAAATTGAAGTGTCTGTTTGTAATGTCAAAATTACAGTTTTTTACTAAATGCATATGAAAGTAAATATGGTACTTATAACTAAAATAGTTTTTAAAATTTTTGTCTGTCTGTCTGTCTGTCGGTCTGTCTGTCTGTTTGTTCCGGCTCATCTCCGAAACGACTAGACCGATTTTGACGGGACTTTCACTGGCAGATAACTGATTTCATAAGGAGTAACGTAGGCTACTTTTATTTTAGGAAAAGAATTAGGGTTCCGCGTGAAAACATAAAAACCCTAACACGCGAGCGAAGTCGCGGGGAACAGCTAGTATACATTATAAATAGCAGTCATTAAAAATAGCATATTAGTTATTAATTTTCTTATAAACCGTGTCCTTATTAACTATGTAGTGGCGGTCTAAGAATATCCACTACCTCATATCATCCCATGGCTGTCTTAAGAGGCGACAGAGGGGAACAAATGCCCTGGATGATTTAGACCCGGTAGGTGTCTCACAATTAGACCCGGTAGGTGGTGCAGTCTTCGAAATCTAAAAATCACCAGTTCAAAGTCGAATCAAATAGCTAGTATTAATAATGACTTAAAAAAAACTTATGTTTTATGTGCTTCATACAAGATAACTAACATATATTGCCATATTAAAGTTGGTAAAAAAAAACTTTGCATACATCCATGTACATGTACGTGAAGTAATTTTTACCAACTTTAATATAATGGACTTCCGTAAAGTTACACCTGATTCTATTAATATATTGCAAATATATTATAATATATTGATAATAATGTACTTAGTTGTGGAGTTGCAGAAACCAGCCTGTTTTACACTAACACTAACAAAGCGAGTGAAAAAAATTACATAATATTACCATTCCATTACAGCCTATAAAAGTTCACTGCTGAACATGGTCTTCATGTAGAATGTAGATTGCATCATGAGTAGGATTTTGCCATAGTTGCCATACTTGCAGGCAGGTTGGCAACTGCAGTTTTTTATTCTCTTTTTTTTTATTTTAAAATGTTACCTCCACACTAGGATTGTCCCCTGTATCATAGAGGCAGTTTACATACATTACATTCACAAGGACAAACATCCAGACCTGGGACAATTATTTGTAGGCCATACAAATACTTGTTCCGTGCGGGATTCGAGCCCGCAGCCCTTAGCGCGGCAACTCATTGCTAAGCCTATATAGTTATCAGGATTCAAATAAAAAAAAATTCAGGAATTAAAGTTTGTCAATAAACAAGTTAAAAGTTTTATTAAAGAAAAACTGCACAAAAAGGGTTATTATAATATCAAGGAATACATGAATGAAAATAACCCCTGGAAATAAGGTGATCGCCACCATACTAGTTCTATGAAAAAGCATTTAAAATTGTATAAACAAAATTATTGTTAAGTGAAATTATGTTTAAAAAAAAGTCCCGCTGGGTTTCTTGCTGGTTCTTCCCAGGACAGAGGTATTTTCCGAACCAGTGGTAAATAAAAAATGACTTTTTTTTTAATAGGATAAGGGTGACAAACGAGCACACAGTTCACCTGATGGTAAGTGGTCGCTGCGGCCCATAGACATCTACATCTATCCTCTGTTACAAATCAAAATGTAGATGCGTTGTCACCCGTGAGGACTAAGATGGAATGCCTCATTTCCAGTAAAAAGGGCCTCCGGCCACCTGCACTCACCAAGCGAAACGCAGAGGTAAACCTCTACTTCACGCTGGTTTTCTGTGAGGTCGTGGTACTACCCCGGTTCGAGCCGGCCCATCCGTGCGACAGCAAAAGCTGCCGCGTGGCTCTACCACTGTTGACTTTCAATAAGTATTATGTAATAATCAATATTGAATAAAAATCATTCTATTCTATTCTAGGAAAATGCTGCTGTCCATATCTTGTTTCAGTTACCGTCTGTCGCTTCTGACAACATCCAAGGGATGATATAGAGTAATGAATATTCTTACACCGCCACTAAATGTTTACCACAATGCAATGCACAACAATTTACAAGTGTTCTACACCAAAAGACAGGAACCCTTCAACATGTTGAATAGAGAAATAAAAATCGAGAAAATATGCAGACCTTGTTTATCAAAAGGTTTAAAATATTTATTATATGGAAATTGTTTAGTTAGGGTTACCTATACTACTAAAGAGTACATAATGAGGGCTAATAATTTTCTGTTCACCAGATCTTGCTAGTCGACACTGTGGTAAAGTTTTTTGTTACGCAATGTCATTTAATTCACAAGTTAGTTTTTAATAAAAGTTTATCAGTTTCTAAAGTATTATATTAATACACACAAAACAATGCCTCAGTGGTTTGCTCTTTAATTTTTTGCACATTTTTAACTTTTTTTCTTCTACATTTGTGAATATCTGTTGTTTGGTTCATTTATTTATCTAATTAATTAATATAAAATATAACTAATAGTACAGAAAGAAACATTAACCTTTACATTTTCCAAACAAATTAACTTCCCCACTATGAAATCTGTCAAATATTATACCTCACTTTTAAGTGGCACCACCCTGGTGGCAGAAATAGTCGGGGACGCCCCCTCATTGATAATAACCCCTGGGAATGAGCTGATTGCGAACATGCTATTTCTGAATGTTTTCATAACAATTGCACAAATATTATATTGTAAACTACGCTTTTAAAAAAAGTCCTGCTGTCTTTCTTGCTGGTTCTTCCCAGGAGTTTCTTCCCAGTCAGAGTCAGAAAGAGTCTTCCCAGTCTTTTACACACTGGTGGTAGAAGTAAATAAATTACTTTCAATTAAAATTACATGTAATTTATATTGAATAAAAATCATTTTATTGTATTGTCTATTATTCCTCAACAGCACCTTTAAGTTTGTAATGAAGCAGTAACACTATATAGAATTCTTTTAAATGATAGGATATTTATAGAAATTCACAATAATTCTGAGCGAGCAGGAAATAAAATCTTGCATGTGAATCCACATATGTATGTATTCAAACTCCTTAAGGGTTAAGGTAGCTCAGATGGTTAGTGCTCGCTGTAAGCTTCACAGTACTCTAGCAACCCCGGTTCGATCCCCATGAAATTGTTAATTGCAATTTTAAGTACTGATTTACCACATGCTCGGCGGTGAAGGAAAACATCGTGAGGGAACCTGCATGTCTGAGAAATAAGAAAAAAAATATATTTCAAAAACATGTGAAGTTCGCAAACACGCATTGGGGCAGCACGGCAGACATTTCCTTGCCCTAAAACCCTCTCAGAAATGAGAGGAGGCCTGTGCCCAGCAGTGGGACGTAAATAGGCTGCAACTTTAAGGGTTAAGGGAAGCCTATGTTTAGCTACAGGAAATGAGTACAGTTATGTTAGGTTACAATAGTATAGTGAAAATACTTTTACAAATTAATTTAGTTAGTAATTAATTGAAGTAAATTTCAAAAATTTATGTTTGAATTAGCGTGACAAGCAAACACACAGTCCACCTGAAATTTGGTGTATGCTGTGGCCCATAGACATATACGGCTATCCTCAATTAAGAATCAAAACGCCGATACATTTTTACCCCTGAAGACTAAGATGGAATGCCTTGTTATCATTAAAGGGATCTTTGATTCTTTACACGCACTATACAAGTTACCTCATTATTCTGCTATTCTACACTAATATTTCATGAGAGCGTGGTTCTACGCCTGTTGAGTTAACCCATTCATATTGCAGCTGCATCATGGCTTTACATTTAAATATTAACTTAAACTGCATAATTATTTTTGAGGTAAACAGTCATGCTTATACATAGTAATCAATTTTAGTAAAAAACTTAATGAAATCACAATGATTGGATGCACTTAACTAAACACCTAACGTTTCTAGCAATGTACAACAAACCTATGAAATCATTAAATGTAAAAGTAAAAAATAACAATATGTAAAAGTAACAATAGCGATGAGTAGGATCGTGCAAAGGGGAAAAACCAGTCGATCCAGTTTATTTACATACACAAAAATAAATATGATTTTATATAGGAATTGATAACAGAAATTAATTATTAATATTAGTTTTGGACCACCTATTTTCATTTAAATTAAGAATATGAATAATTGTAAATATTTGACGGTAAAACGAGAAAATCCATGAAATACTGTTGCGAAATTTATGTCTCGCATCAGTTGTAAAGTACAATGAAAACGTTTCACGTACGAAAAATCGCCACAACGGCCCAAGAGCTCTTAGGAAAACTACCTATGTGGTATCTTAATAAAACATATGAAATCGCTTTACTTACACTGCCTGCAGAAAACTCTTGCCCCGTAATCCAATTACAAACAATATCTTCGTTATTCAATTAATTAATTAAAAATATCACAAAAGCACGAACACTTATATAAGCAATTAATAAGTAAAATAGTGTGTTGTCTTTGTCTTTCACTAAATTATACTAAAGAAAGTAGAAGTCGTGAAACTGCAAGTACAACAAAAACAAACTCCGCTCAACTTAAGCTCAAGTGCAATCGAAAACTTCATTCGATTGTTGACAGTTGACATCAAACTGTTGTTGTTGTTGTTTTTATTATTCGCTCGAGAGAGCAGGCAAAGGAATTAAGCTATACAGCCTTGTCTTTTTTATTTTGAATATATAGAATTTTAAAATGTAAAGGCCGGAACCAAGTCTTATTTTCTTTAATTCGTCATATTTTCAAAAACCGTTAAGGCTAAAGCCAAGTCTTCTTTATATTATATTCTTTGTAAGTTTCAATCCATGTAGATTCGTCAATCCAATATTTTCAAAAACAGGGATACCATATTTGAAGGGTACAGGGGCAAAACAAGGAATGTCACTAAAACAGGTTTTTGTGTAATTGACATTTTAATGTTTGAAAGTATATAACTTTGTCTTACATATTAATTGTTTCAAAACTACTAATAGGAACTTAAGTTTACATTACAGAGATCAGCTGTGGATACAAATAATCTTTTGCCAAATATTAACAAATGTGTATAATTTTAAAAATAAAAGTAATTAACTTTTATAAAGTACTAAAACATGGAATGTCCTATATAACCCATACAGGGAATATCCAAATCTAGTACTATGTATGGGTATTGCCTTCAAAATAGGCTTGTGCTTCAACAGAACAAAACCTTTTTAAGTCCATAAGGTCTTTGTGCTTGTCTGCACTAGTTGGCAAATAATCTTGGTAGGCAAATCCAGGCAATTCAAATTCATTGGTACATTCCGGTTGATTCGCTCTTCTCTTATTCAATATGGGTGACTTCTCCCATAAACCATTATAGTTCCCTCGATGAAGAATGAACCTTGGATGTTCCCTCACACTCATTATTTCTCTTTGGGCCTGGATTGGAAAAAGAGTACTTTTTCATCTATTGATTCTGAAAAAATCTGTAAATTTCCTTATAATTTCACCCTTACCGACTTTAATAACTTCAGAGGAGTTGGGTCTTGCGACTTATTTTTAGGACTTTTTAGGGCTTCCATGTGAGTTGTTATATTAATCAGGCCCATATTCTTGTCGCATTCTAAATATGAATGTCCTCTAATGGGGTATGTTATTTTAATGGAGTCCAAAACTTTCATTACATGGACCACAAAATGAATGAACACAGTATAGTTCTTGTTTTGTCCTCCTGCAGAATCACAAAATATTTCTAAGTGCTTCACACGATGATCTAAATGTTTTTTTTTTAAATAGTGAAATAAAGTTGTCAATTTTTTATTTATCAAATTGTACCCTATTAAATACATGTGCAAAAAAAAACATCGATAATGGCCAACATAGATGTTTTGTGTAGGATAAACATCGAACATTGATGTCATCATCGATATTTCTACATTATCGAGCATCCTTAACCTGACATTGACAGTTAGACATTCCATGTCACGTTCCGTTTCACTAGGGACATTCCCACTTTTACACATGTACAGGGTTTTGAAATATTGAATATATGAAGGACTTTGATTGTTTTTATGCTTTTTATATAATGCTACATAAAAATACGCGCGAAAACCTAAGTGTTGCTATACTTAATTAATATTTGAAGTTTTTGTGACATTCTTGTTTTGCCCCTGTACCCTTCATTTCATATTTGTTTTACAGCATTATGAATAAAATTGCAAAGTGCTAAATATGTCTTAGTATTCCTAAGAACATCTTGCAGGGCATATAAGTTTTTCAATGAGTAGCAATCTTTCTATGGCGTACACTGGGCAGTTAAATATTATATGTTCTGCAGTCTGATCTGCTTCTGTATCGCAAAAGTTGCATGTTGCAGATGCTACTATTCTTATCTTGGAAAGATGAGCGTTCTGTCGATAGTGACCAAATCTAAGTCTGCACATTATTGTATAAAATTTTCTACTATGGTATCTCTCGTTGCGAGAAAACCAAGGAATACTTAGTTCTGAATTAATTGATGCATACCAACGACCTTTTCCTGCCTCTAAAACAGAATTCCATTGCATTTTCCATTCTTCTTTTAACTGTTGCTTTAAAATTGAATATAAATCTGTATGTGGTATTGCAACACCGGTTATCCCACAGAACACAATTACTCTCTACCGAGAGAAGAACGCCAACTACATACTAAAAAACGAAAACACGTGTTTATGAGTGTATACTAAAAGCGCTACGGTGGACGCCCATATAAAACTTTTTAAGCGGGAATTTCAAACCTTTCTATTCTGTAACTAAACTTTTTATTTAAGGCATATTCGAGTAATTTTGGCTCAAGCCTCACAAACCTATGGGGTAAATTCCCATATACTCGTATTTGAGAGGTTGCAACAAAATTACTCGAATATACTTTAGATTAGTATGTGGGATAAAATAAAACTATAAATAAGTATAGTTATGTAATTTTATTTTCTGGAAGACTGATTGTTTTATAAACTATACATTATTATTGATGTTTTTTATTGCTTTTGTACATAATATTTGCCCGCTTGTTACTGATATATTGTCAGAGAGCTATTCTTCACAGAACATTAACGTAAATTTAAATCAGCAAAATTCTCATGATGAAAACTTAACTAACCCAAATACGTGATCTGAAACAGATACAATTCGAGTCAATATAGTAATATTCACGACGATATTATGACTGTGTATTCACCTACATACGAAAATGAAGTCCATAATAAGTGAATTTAAAAAAAAATCGATAATAAATATTAAAAACTAAACCTATAAACTAAATTTTAATAAATTTCAGAAAATTTCTTCAATATGAAAGACGTTGACAAACAAATGTCATTTTTTTTATTAATTCTATACTCCTTTTGATAGAATTCTGCTAATATTAAATAATTTAATTTAAATAGGTAAATTAATTGTGCAAATCTCAGAGTAATATGTATGTAATTATACTATAAAGAGCAAACAAAAAAAAAGCTTAACACAGAATAATTTTTTTTAGTTTCTTCAGATATAATATGAATTTGTGTATCTAATTTTTAAAATGGAAATCTAAAACAACATAAAGGAAAGAAACGGCGATATTTTTTCTCGCTTTATTTTTACAAGCCCAACACGAACATTGCCCAAATCATGATTGTGTGCAGATTTTTCAGCTTTCGTAAAAAGTTGGATCACCCTGGGTTATCCTGTCAATATCAGCTGTAACTATACTTTTAGCTAAATAGTCTGCGCTTTCATTTCCTTGAACACCAATGTGTGACGGAGTCCATAAGAATTTTACTTCCAAATTATTTTCTTTCAATTTTCACCACAAAATTTTGATTTCATATATGATGAAAGACGTTTTAGCATCTAAAGTTCTTGCCTTCAGTGCCTTCAAGACACTCATGCTATCAGAGATCATCATCATCATCATCATCATTACAGCCCTTCACAAGTCCACTGCTGAACATAGGCCTCCCCCAAAGAATGCCACAAAGCACGGTCCTGAGCCACCTGCATCCATCGACTTCCTGCATGTCTTACCAGGTCGTCACTCCATCTAGTGGGGGGAGTAGTCGCCCTACACTTCGCCTGCCGGTACGAAGCTGCCACTCGAGAATCTTTCTTCCCCATCGGTTGTCGGTTCTTCGAGCTATATGGCCGGCCCATTGCCACTTCAGCTTACTAATCCGTTGGGCTATGTCGGTTACTCTGGTTCTACTGCGGAGTCCTCATTCCTAAGTTTATCACGCAGAGAAACTCCGAGCATAGCCCTCTCCATAGCTCGCTGAGCGACCTTGAGCTTCCTCATCCGGCCAGCAGTGAAGGACCACGTCTCAGTTCCGTATGTCATCACTGGCAACACGCACTGGGTGTACAGTCTCGTTTTCAAGGTTTGAGGTATACCTGACGAGAAGATGTGCCGTAATTTCCCGAACGCTGCCCAACCGAGTTGAATCCGTCGATTGACCTCTCGGTCGAAGTTGGACTTACCTAATCGGACTATTTGTCCCAGGTAAACATACTCGTCAACAACTTCGAGCTTAGTGTTCCCAACAACTACCGGCATAGGTGTGACATGGACATTAAACATGATCTTAGTTTTGTCCATGTTCATCTTAAGACCTATCCGTTGGGAAACACTATTGAGGTCATTGAGCATAGTGCTTAGGTCGTCCAGCGATTCTGCCATAAGGGCTATATCGTCGGCAAATCGAAGGTGAGTGATGTACTCGCCATTGATGTTGATACCGTATCCTTTCCAGTCCAGAAGCTTGAAAACATCTTCCAATGCAGCGGTGAAGAGTTTCGGGGATATGACGTCACCCTGTCTTACACCTCTCTGCAATTGGATTGGAGCCTTGGTTCCGCTCGATCGCTTCTTCAATACGAGCTGTATTGAAGTTGCGTAAGTCCCGCCGCATGCATTTGGAGATCTCTCTGTTCAGATGCCTGTATGCTGTCAAGTCTGTTGAAGAATGTAGCTTCATCTCCCGTTTAACAGCCATGAGATTAAGAGTGTGATCGGAGAGTTTTTGTGTTCTTCTGCGGCGGATCTTGCAGAACTTAGCTCCGACCGCATGGACAGTTTCCACGAGCTTGTCATTCATATCGTCCACTTCATTGCAGTCTTCTAGGCACTGAAAACGGTTTTGTAACTCGAGCTGAAAGGTTTCGGGACTTTGGATTAGAGCACGAGGGGGACGGAGCGTTGACTTCATTAGACGAGACCTCTCCAACTTAACGTTTTGGTTCAGTGTGCCTCTAACCATTCGGTGATCGCTACCAGTTTTCACCCTCGCGATCACGGAGACATCACTGAACAGTTGTCGTCTGGTCGTCATAATGAAGTCAATCTCATTTTTTTTCGAACCGTCGGGGCTCGACCAGGTCCACTTCCTGTGGGGCCGCTTCTGGAAGAAAGAGTTCATCATAAAGAGTCCCTCTTTCCCCATGAAGTCGGCCAGCTGCTGGCCCCTTGGGTTCCGTTGTCCTATTCCAAATTTCCCTACTTTCAGCTCACCGTTCTCTCTTGTGCCTAGTTTTGCATTAAAGTCTCCCATTAACACCGTATATTGGGTTTTGGAGGAA